TGAATAGTAAGAAAAAAATGAAGTGACACATAGTATGATTTGCACTGAAACCAGTCTTTGCTAGGAATGTTTCTTGATAGTAGGCTATACAACTATTGAATTGAACAAGACTCAAAGACTATTGCACACAGTAATACAACAAAACGAATGCCATATCTGGGTTTACACGTTCTTGTCACATCTTCCTTGTTTTGCATTGAAAGTTACAGATTAAAGTGCTTCATGTTGCAAAAGTAGCAGAAATCCTCAAGTGATGTGTGTGCTGTGAACGGATTACAAGTATGCTGAGATTTGTATTTTTGCAGCACTCAGAGTAGTAGCCCAGGACCTGAGGTTGTCAGAGTTCTTCAGAATAAAGTGACAAGAGTCCTAGAACCAATTACCCCGACTTGAGAAATTCTCTTTGCTTACCTCAGTGTGTCATGTAAGCATTATCACCATTCTCTACATGTGTCATAATGAGAAGTGGTTTATAATTCCTGCACCATTGTAATTTTGACTATGTTTGTGAACATTTTAATATGTAATATTTAATCAAGTCCTGTTCTGTGGGTCCATAACTGCATTAGATGTCTTATACTTACTTATGAAATATCTTAGAGAACTTTCCTGGAAATTTTATTTTGCTGTTTCATTTCTATGTTTTATTCGAGAAAATATGTGAAACTGTTTATAATCTTAGCTCAGATTTGAACACTGAATAGCTACTCTCCCATTAGGAAACGTTTTGCCATGGTTGAAATGCCTTTTCTTTAAAAGAGACTGGGAGCCTATAATTAGAATATAAGGTTACTCTCTTTTTAGAGTAAAACCATAACCACTAGCATTTATTGCTGCTATAATTGAGAGAAGGAGAAATACTCATTTCTTTCTTCTTGAGTCTAGAGTGAAATCTGTCACCTGTGATAACTAGTTAATTGATTTATTTATTTTAAAAATATTCATCGAGTGTCTATTCTACGCAATGATATGTTTAGAGGGAAAATTAATGCATAAGGCATAGCTCCTGTTCTCAAGTTTATAGTCTATTTGAAGAGACAAGACATAAACACATTTAAAAAGACAGTTTAAAATACAGTTATGTGCTGCATAACGACGTTTCAGTCAGTGACAGACTGAATATATGATGGTGGACCCATAAGATTATAATGGAGCTGAAAAGTTCTTATTGCCTATTGATAACATTACCATTTCTATGTTTATATATAGTTATATACACAACTATCATTGTATTATCCAATGTCTACACTATTCAGTACATTCACATGCTATGGAGATTTATAGTCTAGTAGCAACAGGCTACACCATATACCCTAAATGTGTAGGAGACTATACCATCCAGGTTTGTGTAAGTATATTCTATGATGGTTTCACAGTGACGAAATAACCTAACAATTCATTTCTCAGGATGTATCCTCATTGTTAAGACCCATGTCTGTAATGTTTGTGGATTATTTTCTATGGTGACATAAAATTAAACACCAAAGGACGCTCACAGCGATTATAAGTGATAGGAGTTTAAAGAAGTACCAGTATGTTATGTAACTTCCCAGAGTTCATGTGAGCTAAGCTGCTCTTTGACGAACGGAAGAAGAAAAATATTAATAGCAAAAACTTACCTAGCAACTACTCTATGCCAGGCACATTCTTCAGCATTTTATATATTAGCTCACTTAATAATCTTAAACGCTCTATGAAACAGCACATTTAATAACTTGCCCAAAGTAATACAAGAAGTAAGTAGTACTTGTGTATGCTTTGTGAAGTTCTCATGCTGTGCTTTTCAGCTCCATCAAGTCATGTATGTTCTTCTCTAACTTGGTTATTCTATTTAGCATTTCGTCTAACCTTTTTTCAAGGTTTTTATTTTCTTTGCATTGGGTTAGGACATGTTCCTTTAGCTCAGAGAAGTTTGTTATTATCCACCTTCTGAAGCCTGCCTCTGTCAATTCATCAAACTTATTCTCCATCCAGTTTTGTTCCCTTGCTGGTGAGGAGTTGTGATGCCTTGCAGGAGGAGAGGTGTTCTGGTCCTTGATGATTTCATCCTTTTTGTGCTGGCTTCTTCCCAACTTCGTGGGTTTATCTACCTGTGATCTTTGAACTTGGTGATTTCAGATGGGGTCTCTGAGTGGACGTCCGTTCTGTTGATACTGAAGCTATTTCTTTTCGTTTTTTAATTTTCCTTTTAACAGTCAGGCCCCTCTGCTGTAGGACTGCTGGAGGTCCACTCCAGAACTTGCTTGCCTGAGAATCACCCAAATGGGGTGCAGAGCAGCAAGGATTGCTGCCTGATCTTTCCTCTGGTAGGTTCGTCCCAGAAAGGTACCCACCAGGTGTCAGCCTGAGCTCTCCTGTATGAGGTGTTTTTTTGTTGTTGTTGTTATTCAGGGGTCAGGGAGCTGGTTGAGGAGGCAGTCTGTCCCTTATCTGCCTGCAGAGATGCTTCTGGGCTGCCTCCCGGCTACTGTGTAGGCATCCTCTGGCTTTTGTTTACACAGGTAAAATTAGAACTGTCTTCGCAATGGCAGACACCCTTCCCCTCACCAAGCTCGATTGTCCTGGGTGCAGCTCAGACTGATGTGCTGGCTGTGAAACCCTCAAGTGAGAGGGCTTCAGTTTGCTGATCTTTGTGGGGGTGTGACCTGCCAAGCCATATCACCTCTCTCCCTGCTTTCAGCTCTCCCTCTTCCTGGGAGTTGGGTAGATCCGTCCTGCAAGCATACTTGGTGCTAGTCAAAACTTCCACCCAGATCTTGCAGCTCTGGGCAGGCTGGAGCTGTTGCTCAGATCTCTGTTGGTAATTTCTGGTGCTTTTCAGCCTAGTGGCGTTCTCCTGGACTGCTAGTTGCAACAGCCATGGCAGAAGTGCAGTATCTGAACCAGAGTGCCGAGGTGGTAAAGTCCCCGATCCTCTGTCCGATTACACTTCCCAGATGAGACAAGCAACTGTTTGCTCACAAATTTAAAAATGTAGAAAAAATTGAACAATTCCTTAAAAAAACCACAAACTACCAAAATAAAAAATTAATAAAATTATATGTGTGATATAATTAGTCCTGTAATCAACAAGGAGAATGAATTTGTAATTTAGTAAGTCTCTTCTCTTGTCTGTCACCATGTAAGGCCACAGGAGATATGGCCTTACAACTTCCGTCATAATTTTCAGGCCCCCAGGCACGTGGAACTGTAAGTTCATTAAATCTCTTTCTTTTCTAAATTTCTCCATCTCTGATAGGTCTTCATCAGCAGTGTGAAAATGGACTAATACATCAAGCTACTCAAGCATAGTGTATTACACAAGGGTAAGAACATCAGGAGGCTAGGATCATTATAGATCATATCAGAAGCTGCCTTCCAAATCAAGTAATGGTAAGCATATCCGGAAACAGATAATATAATTTTATGGGGAAGGTAGATAGCTACAATCATGTTGGAGAAAAATCTAGCAAAATTTAGAAACCTTATTGCTATGGACTGAATGTGTCCTCCCCAAATTTGCATGTTGAAACTCTTATACTCAATGTGGTATTTGGAGGTGGAGTGTTTGGTAGGTAATTAGGGTGGGAGTAGGTTTTGAATGTGGGGTCCTAATCTAATCATGGGATGAATGCCCTTATGAAAACAAAAACACCAAACTTCCGGCTCTCTTGATGCACCCAACAAAAAAAGGTCATATGAGAACATAACCAGAAATGCCCTTGCCAGAACCTGACCATGCTGGTGCCCTGATTTTTCAGTTCAAACCTTTAGAGCTGTGATAAATAGTTTATTGTTTAAGCTACCCAGTCTGTAAGATTCTCTTATAGCACCCTGAAACGACTAAGACAATTATATTGTCTATTACCTAGGAATTACCTAGGAATTCTATTCCTGAATATACACCTTAAAGAGACATAGGCAGAATTCCACAAAAGGTCATGAGCTACTAATGAGGCTTGTGGCAGCATCATTAGTAGCAGTAAGGTACAGCATCAACAAAGGTAACCCTCAAAGGAAGAAGAAAATGAACAAGCGCAATGCAACATTACAAGCAATGAAAAAGAGATGCATATAGCAGTTTCATTACAATGCTTACACATTCACAAATGTACATATTTAACAAGTCCACATGATTATCAAGAATAAAAATATATGAAAGAACATCATTCAAACACATCGGGCGTTTCACATGTAGGTGTCTTTTGGTGGGAAAGAAATTAGTAATAGGAACTGGGAAGACAGACAGAAAAATCCAATAAAATAGAGAAATAACCTTTCAAAAATCAATAATGATAATGTGGTCAGAGTCCATGAATAGGACAAAAGTAAAGATAAAAGAAATATTCATAAATGGACAGTTAATTCAAATCCCTTTCCATCAATTGCAGGGCTAGTGGATATTAATGAAAATAAGCTGCCTTTAATGCCAACTGTGATAGGTACAAAGGTGTTTATTTGTGGGAAATGTCTTTTGTTTGTAGAATTATTCACCTCACCGGTGACACTGAAATATATCCATATTGTTTTTAGAGGGACTTTAGGTAAAATATCAAAAATAACAGCTAATGACTTGGGGAGGGAGACAGCAGAATAAACCAATGAGTAGGTGTGGCCTTGGGGAATAGATTGAAGGAAACTGTTTGCTATGTGGGCCGCCACAGTTGAACATAGGTATATGAGGAGGGGTGGCTATTCAGTTTGGGAAGGCATACAAGAGACTGTTATAGAAAATCCTCTTTTCTACCACCAGGTTATCCTTGTCTTTATATCATCCCCCAAAACAGAGGTGGCAGGAGTGGTACATTCTGATGTCTAAGCCTCCCCAGGTACCCTCCCCCCACCTCACAAAAAGGTGACAAAAGCAGTGCTCTGTGACGTCTCAGTGTCTCTTAGCTCTCATTGGCTGGGAGAGTGCCTTGCTGACCAATCAGAATTGAAGAGCATAGCTCCTCATTGTGCTGGGAAGGGTATACATAGGATGGTCAGGAGCTCTGAGTAGACCACTGGGAGACTTCAGTATGGCGAAGGTGGCCAGTAAATCACAGGAGCCTAATGAAGATGTGGACAAGCAGACCCCATCAACCCCAAGAACCAAAGGGAGGAAGAAAGGGAAGACTCCCTGTCAACCAAGATCCAGAAGTGGTGTTAAGGTGAGATAATCCTGCCCAAGCCCCTTCTCTTTGCCCCACTGATTCCCCAACCCCAAGACTCCTATCCTTCCCTTGCCTCACAAAACTCCCTCCTCAATTCACACCCCTTCTCATAAAGTCCATTCTTATGCATTTCCTACCTTTCCCAAAACCAATGCGCTCTGCCCTGTGTTGTCTCTATAGGGGCTAAAGACCACCATGAAGGCAAAAAGACCCCTTCGAGGAAGCTCAAGCCAAAAAGCCTCTGAAACTGACACCCCTACAAGAAAACTTAAGAAAGCTAAAGGGCCAATACTGTATGGTCATTATCACCGGCTGAAAGAAAAAATGAAGAAAGAAGAGGCAGAAAAAGACCAAAAGACTGAGGAGAACTCCAGCGTTTCAAGTGATGACCTGAGCAGCCAATAATTTCAAAGGGAAAAGAGAGACCTCACCTCTGTGACGTCTCTAGAGGTCTGGCCACTGAGAAGTAAACAATCAGACAGACAATGAATTCTACACCAACAGGTTAAAATCATGAAAATAAAATCAACCTGAATTGAAAAGATATGTTTCTGTGGGTTCTCTGATGGTGGGGAAGGAAAAAGTGAAGGGAAGAGGGAGATGTGCGTGAGAAGGCAGGCAGGTGGGTTCTGTGGGGTTTGGGGCCAGACCAACGGGTCCACACCAGATATTGGGGGGGTAAGGACTGGCTCAGGACTAAGCACTGAAGACAATTTTCCTGAAAACTTTAGTACACAAAGAGTAAAGAGGCTTGATGTTTCTACCGGTGTGTGTTTTGGTGGGGAATGAGGGGGCGTGACTTCAGTGTGTTGTCAGAACCTGTATGGGGTGAGGTTTGTGGGTGGCAGTACTATTCCCAATAATAGACAAATAAATAACCTGCGGGCCATCTATCTCATAGTGGTAGGTATGGGGTACAACCAACCCTATGATATAAGCAACCAAATACTGACTAACCCACTTTCTTAAAAAGCTTGAGGGGAGCAGGGCAGTGGGAGTGGTCTGCCTGTAGCACAGGACTTGAATGAGAGCTTTGCCTTAGTGTCTCTTAGCTCTCATTGGCTGGGAGAGTGCCTTGCTGACCAATCAAAACTGAAAGGTGTGGCTCCTCATTGTGCTGGGAGGGGTATGCCTGGGATGATCAGGAGGCCATGAATGAGATCACTGTCTACAGAGAATTTTCAAACAACATAGCTCTCTCTCCAAACATCTTTTATTTTTATTTTTCCAAAGCTGTTTTTATCTGTGAAGAGAATATCATTTTTAAACAGCTTTACTGAAGTATAATTTACATATGACCAAGTGCACATGCTTAAAAAGCATACAATTTGATGAGTTTTGTCACATAGGCACTTGTTAAACCATCACCATGACTACAAGAGTAAACACACCCATAACCCCCTAAAAATTTCTTATGCCTTTTGGCAATTCTTCCCTGCCCATATTTCAACCACCATTCTAAAAAAAATAAATAAAATAAAATGAAATCACTGACCACTGATGTGATCGGCTTTCTGTGATTATCAATTTCTATTTTCTAGAGGTTTATAAGAATGGAATTAGAAGATATATACTCTTTTTTTTGTCTGGGCCAGCTTCTTAGAACAACTATTTTATCTTTCCTTCCTCGAAAATGTTTTGTTGGTCTACTTTTTAAAAGATTGCTGTGGTCAGTAAGTTTTAATCGTGGTTCTGTGAGAGTGGTCCAAAAATAGCACAATTTATCATTATATTTTAATGAATACTCATTGTATTCTAGAAGGAAATTGATGCAGATAATTTTCTTTTATACCATTGGCCTCAGATATCATATGACTCAATTGTTGCTGTTTCTTTCTAAAGCAAGTTCCTAAGGATCTGGTATTTCTTGCAGTGCACTTTGAGTCATAATCCGTGGCCCTATATGACACACATATACTAGCATTTAGATTTCTAAAATATTTATAAAACAATAATAGTACAATGATTGATTGATTTTAAAATAAAGGGATAATTTGAGTTTTTCAGGTGCTGTCATTCCATGTGACCACTTGTTTGTATGATGCCTAAGTTAATATAACAAAATATGAATGGCAAAGTATAAATGTTTGTTTGAGAAGTTCAAATTTTTACTTCATTTAAACAAAAATACTTTGTAAAGTTGAACTGTATCTTTAAAAGTGAAATGTATTCTTCTTTAACTGTTTAATACTTATTTTAAAACCACAGACCAATTCAAAGAAATACAATGTGACATCAACTGGGTAATTTATTGACTAATTTGTCCCTTTTGCACAATTTTTGGGTTTCTTAAAATGCCATTTTATATTTTACCTTTACTAATACATATATACATACATATATATGGCTCACTTAAAACAATTACACCATATTTCTTTATTAATCCTTGTTATTTCTTGTTTTGATTTATGATTATTACTGAAAATGTGTTCTACTGAGGAGGGGGCATTAAAAAGCATTCCTCATTTGGTTTTAAATATACTAATTATGTCAAGGGTGGAATGCATTTTTTTCTTCAAATACTCATATTTTGGTCCTCGTGTCTGGCATCTTTTGGTTTTCTTTTAAACAGCTTTATTCAGATGTAACAGACTGTAATAATAAACAATTAATTAGAGTTGACACATATACACCTGTGAAACCATCACCACAATTAAAATAACTTTATCTGTCACCACATCAGGTTTGTTTAGTTTTTTGCCACCTTGTACTTTTTCCTCCCACTTCTTCCCAATTCCCAAAAACTCACTGATCTTCCTTCTGTCTCTGTAGGTTAGTTTGCAATTCTAGAATTTCATATAAATGGGATCAGATTAGGTACTTAATTTTATCTAGCTTCTTCCACTCAGCATAATTTTGAGTGTCATCAATGTTGTTGCATATGTCAATACTATATTCTTTTTTGTATTTTTTTATTACTTTGTTGAGAGTTTATCAGCACTAAAATGATACTGCAAAGTTGCTTGAATTTTATTTTTTATGATAATTGGAGATTTACGGGCAATTGTGAGAAATAGATGTCTTATATCCTTCACTCAGATTCTCCTGATGGTAATGTCTGCTATAAACACAGTACAGTATCACATTAATAAATCAACAGAAATAAAATCCATTTACCTTCTTCAGATTTCACCAGATTTACATGCACACATGTGTGTGCAGGTAAGTGTGTGTTACATTCTGTGTAATTTTATCACCTGTAGAATTTTCCATGACTACCGCTATAGTCAAGATAAACACAATTTACATCACAAAGAACTCTCACACTAACCATTTATAAGCACAACCATTTTTCTCCCACTTCCCCATCCTTGAAACTCAGTAAATTGTTCTCTGTCTTTCTAATTTTATTGTTATTAGAATGTCACATAAATTGGATAATGCACTATGTAAACTTCTGAGATAAATTTTTTTAATCAGTATAAATGTCTTGAGACCCATTCAAGTTGCTGTGTGCATCATAGTTATTTTTGTTTGTTCATTTGTTTGTTTTGTTTGTAAGTAACATTCTGTGCCCCATGCAAATCAGAAATCCAGTGGGGCAATCAAATCTTAAAGTTCCAAAATGATCTCCTTAGACCTCATGTCTGTCATCTGGGTCATGCTGAGGCAAGAGATGGGTTCTGATGGCCTTGGACAGCTCTATTCCTGTGGCTTTTCATGGTATAGCCTCCCTTTTGGCTGCGTTCACGGGCTGGCATTTAGTGTCTGTGGCTTCTTCAGGTGCACCGTGCAAGCTGTTGGTGGATATACCATTCTGGGGTCTGGAGGATGGTGGTCCTTTCCTCACAGCTCCACTAGGTGGTACACCAGTAAGGGCTCTGTGTGAGGGCTCTGATCCCACATTTCCCTTCTGCACTGCTCTAGCAGAGGTTCTCCATGAGCAGCCCACCTCTGCAGCAAACTTCTGCCTGGGCATCCAGGTGTTTCCATATATCTTCTGAAATCTAGGTAAAGGTTTCCAAACCTCAATTCTTGACTTCTGTGCACCTGAAAGCTAAACACCACATAGAAGCTGCCAAGGCTTGGGCTTCCACCCTCTCAAGCCACAGGCCGAACCATACATTGGCCCCTTTCAGCCACAGCTGGAGTGGTTCGGATGTAGGGCACCAAATCTCTAGGCTGCGCACCACACGGGGAGTCTGGGCATAGTCCATGAAGCCATTTTCTTCTAGGCCTTTAGGTCTTTAATAGGTGAGGTTGCCTTGAAGATCTCTGGCATGCCCTGGAGACATTTTCCCCATTGTCTTAGGAATTCATATTTGCCTCCTCATTTCTTATGCCAATTTCTGAAACCGGCTTGAATTCCTCCTCAGAAAATGAAATTTTCTTCTTAATTGTATTGTCAGGCTGAATCATCTCTGTCAAGTTCAAAGTTCCACAAATCTCCAGGGCAGGGGCAAAATGCTGTCAGTCTCTTTGATCCAGTTCCCAACAAGTTTCTCATTTCCATCTGAGACCACCTCAGCCTGGACTTTATTGTTCATATTACTATCAGCATTTTGGGCAAAGCCAAACTTGCTTTCACATTTTCTTGTATCTTATCAGCAGCACCCCCTCCTCTGGTACCAATTTACTGTATTAGTCCATTTTCACTCTGCTGATGAAGACATACCCGAGACTGGGAAATTTAGAAAAGAAAGAGGTTTAATGAACTTAAAGTTCCATGTGGCTGGGGTGTTCACAATTATGGTGGAATTTAAAAGTATGTCTCACATAGTGACAGATAAGAGGAGACTTATTAAATTACAAATTCATTCTCTTTGTTAGTTATAGGACTAATTATATCACTTATATAATTTTTTAAAATTCATTTTTGGTAGTTGGTTGTTTTTTAAGAAATCGATAATTTTTTTCTACATTTTTGAATTTATGAGCATACAGTTGTTCACAGTATTCTCTTATTATTCATTTAATGCCTGCCTTGGTTCACCCTCCTTGGGCTACACCCACTATCCAACCAGTCCCATTGAAATGAACCTGGTAACTCGGTTAGAAATGCAGCGATCACTCACCTTTTGCATCTCTCTCACTGGGAACTGCACTCCGGAGCTGTTCCTATTCAGCCATCAAAACCACATTAAGATACCATCTCACACCAGTTAGAATGGCGATCATTAAAAAATCTGGAGAAAACAGATGCTGGAGAGGATGTGGGGAAATAGGAACACTTTTACACTGTTGGTGGGAGTGTAAATTATTTCAACCATTGTGGAAGACAGTGTGGCAATTCCTCAAGGATCTAGAAACAGAAATTCCATTTGACCCAGCAATCCCATTACTGAGTATATCCCCAAAGGATTATAAACTGTTCTATTATAAAGACACATGCACACACATGTCCATTGTTGCACTGTTTACAACAGCAAAGACCTGGAACCAACCCAAATGCCATCAATGATAGA